CATTGGGACCCTCCGAGGCCTAAATGCCTTTGCAGCTGCCACCACCGCCCATGCCTCTGCTGTATCGAGATCCTGATTCTTAGCATAATAGGTGAAAACGTGCAAGGTGTCCAGTGGCACCAAACTTAAGAAATATGGCCCAAATGTTTTATGCTAGGGCCTCCTAAAGGGCCAGAGGGCACCTGGACGGGAAAGAATTGACTCAGCAGGCCTGGGTTGCTGAAACCACAAACACTCCAAAGGCAGACCTGTTTTCAGATCACCACTGAGCCCCTGCCTGGACTATTCTGTGTGTAAGAGCATTTGTTTGCCTGAGGCCTTGGGCTATGTGTTCTAGTTTGACCAGGTAAATTTCTCCTAAAATTGGGACTTATTGTGAACACCTGGTTTTGCTCTGGGGTGGGAGGGGGAAATGGGGGTTGGAGTCTTGAAAGGTTGGGATAAGTACCATGGGTGCTGCAGCCTATGTGCCTGACCCCCAGTAAAAACCCTGAACACTGAAGCTTGGTGAGCTTTCCTAATCACAGCCCTGTGCATGTGTCATCACACATTGTTGCTGGGAGAATAAAGTGTGACCCCACGTGACTCTACTGGGAGGGACACCTGGGAGCATGTGTCTGGTCTCTCCTGGATGTTGTCCCCATGTGCCTTTCCCTTTGTGGATTTGAATCTGTATCCTTTCAAGGTAATAAACTGTAACTATTTCTGAGTCCTGTGAGTCTTTCTAGTGAATCATCAAGCCTGAGGGAGGTTTGGGGACCCCCGACACACCATAACCCAATGGGAATCACTGTAAAATAGGCTGACAGTGACTGTGGGTCCTCTTTGGTGCTGCTGCAGATCAACATGCTAACAGGGGTCTCTGCTTCCAGCTTCAGTCCAGGGCGCCTAAAGCCACAAGTAGTAATAGCCATGGGGTGTACCCTAGTCCTGATGGTAGTGACTGGACTTCCTGCAAGAAGATTCATTCTACCATGACAAGTGGGAGAGGACCCCCCCACCTGAGCAGCTCCAAAACCACCCCCAAAAAAACAATTCTACAAGGGGAGGAAACTAAACCGGAAACAGACATCTTCGACTTGGCTCAATGGGGAATTCAAAATCTTACTGGAAGAATTTATGGAATTAGAATATGAAAAGCGTGCTAGTTGGGTTTTGTGCCAAAATGATCCTGGCTCTGAGTTGACTTTAACTTCTGCTGAAATGTGCAGATTGGCCTGCATATCTGTGGTCCTCAAATTAGTAATCCCAGGGCCCACTGGATTTATGGTAGTGAATGTGCAATTTCCGCCTGCCCCAGCAACTCACAGGCATGACACCGACCCTTTTTCTTGCTCCATCAGGTGCTTATGGCATGAAAAATAGCCCACCCAAATTCCAACCCTAACTCCTACTCCTGTCCTAACCCTAACTTCTAAATATCTTAGCCCTTGCCCTCTTTTCTGCTCCCCTTCCCCACACCCAACCCAAACTGTAACCCTAATCCTGATCCTAACTAGCACACAGATGCTTTGACCCGTGGACTAGACAAGATGCCGCTAGTGCCAGGAAGGCTGCTTCGGCCCTCTGTTGCTCAGGGGAAGCCAGGAGCGAGAGGCAGGCCCCACTGCTCTCTCACCTTGCAGTCTCTGCCTGTGGCTCCTTCTGGTACAACTTACCTGGAAGCAGACTGACAGGGAACATGGTTTGCAGCCGAGCCCCAGAATGCTGGGGGTGGGCTTGGCTGGGACAATATGTGCCCTCCTGGCCTACCCTGCTTCTGTCAGTTAAGGCTTTGGTCAGGACAGGAAAAATGGTGTCCTTCTGGAGTAGTGCCACAGTAAGACCTGTGGACACTAAATGTTACTATTCAAAGTGAAAATTGCTTATGTACTGATTACTAAAGTAATAAGTGTCTGTCGTTTCAATGATTTAGAAGATTCAGTCCTAACCCATCATCTAGAAAGTGAAGCATCTAGTACATCTCCTTGCAGATGTCCTATATATTAGGGGATCTTCCCAGCCACCATGCCATGTTCTGGGGGAGGCACCCCTACTTCACTTATTTTTTTATTTATTTTTTGAGCAATCAGGACAATCATATCAGTGAAGCCCAGCCACTGTGAGGAGTTCAGTTTTGGGCGACCCTTCCTGCTACGTGCAGTCACAGGTGGTTCATTTCTAGGCAAAACCAGAATGAAATCTTGGGCTCACTGTCGGGCAATTCAGCTTGTTGAAAAGCCAGTCCGCACGTAGTAAATGTGAATGCACCATTGCTGAATTGGGGTTTATTCTTATAAAGGTGATATAATGTTAGAAAAATCTCTGTATAAATTCAATTATATCTCCACAACAAGGAAGGAAACCCATATAATCACTTCAGAGGTATGCCAAAAAGGTGTTTGGTCAAATCCTGATTTTTCAAAGTCTTAGCAAACTACACCTAACTTTATAAGCAATCCGTCATTGACAAGGGTTGGCATTTTCTTAATAGTGAAAGACTAGAGATCTGTTTCCCTTCAAGTCAGAATAAAGACCCAATGCTGTATCAGTGAGGAATGAAACAACTGCGAGGGGTGACAAATGGACTTAAGCTGTTTCTATTTCTCATATAGCAAGAACTCAGGGAGTTCAATGTTGGTAGCTGAACCAGCTGGTCAAAAATTTAATCCAAGGATCCTTCTATTTTTCCATTTCATTATGTGTGGCCTTTGTCCTCAATTGTTTCATGGTTGCAAGATGGCACTGCATCCAAGTTCCAGGCAGGAAGAAGTTGAGGAGGAAGGAACAGTTTTCCTATTAGAAAAGCAAAGAATTTCCCCAAATCTCTGGCAGACTTCTACTTGAGCCTCCTGGGTCAGAACTGGGCCATTTGGCCAACCCAGCTACCACCGAGTCTTAGAGGCCAAGGTGTTTTGAGATGGACACACATTGGTCTCTAACCCCAAACAGAGTCTGCCACAAATGACCACTGCCACCAACACTGTGTTGCTCTAGAAGTGCTGGCCAATGTGGATTTTAAAAAGAAATGAAATACGGGCCAGCTGAGTGGTTCAGGTGGTTAAGAGTTGGCTTGGGAGTGCAAGCTCTGAGCAGCAGGGCCACAGGTTCAGTTCCCACATGGACCAGTGACGCTGCATTCTCTACAGCTAAGTTGGTGAACAACAGCTCGACTTGAGCTGGGCTGCTGTGAGTGGCCGCCATCGGCGTAGGCTACAGTGGGGCTGCCGTGAGCTACTGAGTGGCCAGCAGCCAGCGTGAGCGGCTGGCAGTCGGCAAGATCTGCCATGAGTGGCCGTCCAATGGCCGGCGAGCGACTGCCTCACTTGGGAAGAGCGCAATGATAATACCAACATGGGCCAGTGAAGCAATATCCTCCAGAACTAGACTGAAAAACCAAATGACAGCAACTTGTCTGTTCCCCTTCCCTGATTCCCCAACGCTGTTCCCCTCCTCCAATTCCCCAATACAAATCTTTAAAAATAATAATAAAAATAAATAAAATAAAAATGAAATAAAAGGCTATCTATACAGAAAGGAGAGGCAAGCTTTTTATTTCCAAGTGATATGACTGCTTAACCAGAAAACCCAATAAACTGGTAAGCTGTCAGAGACCTTCTTAGAATAACTCAGTAAAGTTGCTAGGTATAAAATAAATGTACAAGAAGATATATACAATCAATAGTGGCCCTATATATCTTATAACAGAACAACCCAATTTACAAACCCCACAAAATTAGAATGAACTTAAGAATAAATGTAAGAACATTTATGAAGAAAATCATAAAATTTTTCTGATGGTTACAGGTAGATTTGAACGAACAGTTATCTACCATATTCTTTGATGTGAAGACTTAATAGTATGTAGAACTTATAAATTCTTCACAAACTAGTCAATTCTAATCAAAATCCCAATGAGATATTCAGGGGCATGAAGACGCTGAGTTCTGAGAAAATGATTCCTGTGTCACCTGAAAGAATAGATAAAACAACACCAACAACTTTTAAAAACCTAAAAATGTGGTCCTGGTTCTACCATGTAGTAAAGTGAATTATGGAAGCTACAATAATAAAGGCAGGTCTATGGAACAGTGGGGAATCAATTTGAGAATGATTGCTAGGACCTTGGATTTTATATCCTAAATACATGAATTTAAGAGTTAAATGTAGGGCCAGCCAAGTGGCTCAGTTGGTTAAGAGCGCGAGCTCTGAGCAACAGGGTCGCCGGTTCAATTCCCACATGGGCCAGTGAGCTGCACCCAAGCTGAGCTGCCGCTGAGCTGCCAACGGGTGGCAGGACGGCTCAGCTGGTGAGAGCACATGCTCCTAACAACAAGGTTGCTGGTTTGACTCACGCATGGGATGGTGGGCTACGCCCACCCACAACTAAGATTGAACACGGCACGTTGAGCTGAGCGGCCACAAGCTGCCAACGGGCGGCCAGATGGCGACTGGACTTGGAGCTGAGATAGCTGCACCCTCCACAACTAAGACTGAAGGACAATAACTTGGCTGTTCCCCTTCCCCAATTCCCCAATAAAATCTTTGGAAAAAAAAAAAGGAGTTAAATGTAAAAATATGGAACCAAAAGAGGACTTAAGGAAGAGGCTTTCTAAGAGCCAAAGAAAAATATAAAGGAAAAAAAAAATCAAATACCAATAGACCTTATTACACAGAATTTGAACACCTCTCTACATGAAATATGCGTAACAGAGAACATGTACATGCCAAGGCGATACATACTCGTATGTATGTATATGTGTATGTGTGTGGGTATATATTTAAAAAACAAAGAATGGAATAGTGGATAAAAGACAGGAATAGACAATTCATATGAAAGGGAAAAAAAAGGTAAAAAAATATCAACAAATATCTAATGTATCAAAATGACAAATATAAAAAGTGAAATGATGCCAAGTGCTAGCAAGGGTGTGGAGAAGTGGACACTCAGAGCCCATACAGAGTACAAACTAGGAGCATCGTGTTGGGCCCATTCTGGAAACACCAACAGCTTTCCAGTGTTAGTCATCTCCGCTGCTCACTCCACTCTCAGGGTTTATTCTGAGGAAATAATCAAAGACGGGCACATAGGCTTATGTTCCAGAATCATTTATAGGTACTGATAATCTTGATGTTTAACAATAAAGGAACAGATAAATCATGATACAGCTGTAAGGCAGAAAATGATGTAGTCAGCAATGATGTTTTGAAAAATATTTTATAACATGGAAAATGCTCATCATAAAATGTTAACTGGAAAAGGATAAAAAGGACATGCAGAGTATGAATCCAGTCTTATTTTAAAAGAAAAAGCATATATTGGTATATATGTGCACAGAAATAAACTAGAAGGAAATGCATCTTCATGTAATGACCTATGAACTGACACTGAGGGTCATTTCTATTCTTATAATTTTTTTTCAAATTTCTTCAATATATATGTATTACTCGTATAATCAGAAAAAAAGGTTTATATGCAAATAAAAGGAAAACATCAAGACTCCAATGGTAAGAGGGCCAAAGGGTATATTCAAATAATTTTCAGGAAAAAAAACATGTTCAATATTCCGCCTCCTTAGGTATCAAAGGAGCAAAGTGAAGTACTAGGTGCCACTTAGCTGAGCACACTAACAGCACTACAGGGAAGAGAGCAGGCACGGTGTCCAGGGTCTATGAAGGTGGTTTCATTTTAATTTCTCTTAAAATAAGAAAAAGGAGTATGATAATAATGAATCAAGCCTAGGTTATATTTCTCTTTTGTCAATGCAGTTGTAAAATAGAACTTTTCCTATCTGTCACAAGAGGAAGGGCCCGAGACTGCCATGGCGTGGCCCTGGGGGCCAGATGATGCCAGGCCGGCTCACGGACACTCCAGAGGAAGGCCATGGAGTGGCAGATGTCCAGGGTCATCGCCATGTCGTCACCACGCCTGAACAAAGGCCATCTGTCTGGACATGCAGCTTGGAACGGTGCCTGTGCCCGGGAGATGGACGTGCAGGGGACATTCCTACCTGACCAGTGTTACTGATTGGTTTCTTAATAATGAAACAGTATTACTTTGCAAACACACAACCAAAAACATACTGAGATGATTCCTTAAGCTATTCATCTCC